GGGATGGGGGGGCTCCCAGCAGTCGACAGAATTCCCCATCAACTAAAAGCAAACGATTTCAACACCAGCGAGCCTCTGGAGCTTCATGCACCTATAGCTCTATGGAATTCCGGAAAAAAAGCAGGTTTCAGCCATGAGGTTTAACACAGCGGCACATAGACTTACCGTTTTCATCCGTCACGTTCGGGCTGTTGGCGTTCGGTGCCGTGTACCGTGTGATAATCCAGATATCTGTGTCTGCTCTTCTGCATTTGTAGCCAGGTCACAGTTTTCTGGAGTCTATCCCCGGGTGGACAAGGCGGGGTGCATTTTGTACAGGACACTGTTCAGTCACAGGACACCCCACACACATACAGACACGAACTCGTGCATTCACATTGACTCGCACGCTGAGCCGCACGTCTTTGCAGTGTGGGAAACAAATGGAGCACACTGAGGAAATTTGGACAAAAACAGGGAGAAAAGAGGGTAACAATTTACTTAAAGCAGTCACCATAATGCATTACAGATATCCTCATAATGCATTAAAATGGTTAGTATAAGCCATTATAATGCACTATAAAGGTATTTATAGTGCATTATAGATGAGAGCTTCATGGTTTCCTTTGCATTTAAAATCAATGATAAATATTACCTGATGATTCATATAATCATTTGAAAAAGAAGAATGAACGCATGTCCCAAGATGTCTAATTATTGGTTATGGAATTAATATTAGAAGTAGAAACAGAAGTTGTCATAATCCCAGGGTGTACCTAGGAATTCTAGACCCCCCCCCCCTTCCCAATTTCATGTATAATTTTACATATTCAAGGGTTCGTGTTAAGTGCTGTGCCCCCTGAATCTGCCCCTCTTATGCCCATGAATATATCTGAAAGATACCAATTTGTATTTAAATGTATTTAAATTATCTTACTCTGTTGAACTACACATTCACAGCTTTATACCCTGTGGAAAGTGTTGATCTTCTATGTTGTTTCCAGGTTTAGTATTTTATTGGATACTCTTGCCGTGGTGTCTTGCATGCATTTTATTTTTGCGCCGTGGTGGCTGTTGTCACATCCCCTCATACACCCATCTTCCATAACTGCTTATCAAATGTAGGATGGTAGTGAGCTTGTAACAGGAAGCAGAGACGGGGGTGGGGGGCACACACTCACACACAACTGGCAGTTTACGGGCATCAGTTCATGTAAGTGCACAGGGCAGAGTCTTTGGACTGTGGGAGGAGAGAAGAGGAGTCAGGAGAAACATCCGAGATGCAGGGAGATCATGCAAACTCGTCACACTGAGCTGGGGGGGAGGCTTTGTGTGAAGCTTCCCAATGAGACACCTACAATATGTAAAATAAGGTCAAATAAAAAATCCATAAAGGTGAATATTACCAGTACAGACGCTCCTCTACTTACGAACTTTCAACTTACGAACTTTCAGACATACAAACGGAGAGGACTGTACGTCCAAATTGTGTTCCTTGGGCTCCTGTTTCCTGTCCGCAACATCATTTTTTTTTTTCTGAGCACCAATTCTGCCTAGTATGACTTCTGCCCGCTACTCCCGCCGCGCAGCAGCGTAGCGTGCGGACTCCCAGCATCCTAGCTCTTAGCACTTGCGTATACCCTTAAAATGATGTTGAATAACGATTTACAAACATTTCAAGTTACGAACGGCTGTTCGAAACGTATCCCGTTTGCAAGTAGAGGAGCATCTGTACCTAACTTTCAGGAAAAACTTGCCTAATGAGTGAATACTAGCCTGTGTGATTATACATTTTTTCAGTCTCTTTCACTGCATAATGGCTACCCTTTTCCAGTAGCATCCTGCAACATCTACAGCTTGACCTTTTTTAACTTACATGTTTCATTTTTAATGGAAAAAAAACTTAATTCTGCGACTACTTCAGACTACTATGAAACTCAGTTCTTACACATTTCATATGTATTTGGAATAATTCTTCTCTGATATTTGCCTGCCATTAGACTTGCCCATTGCCACTCTCCCACTTACCCTGACTGAAATGTACCCGTCAAACCACAAGCTATGTGCTATAAACAGACCTGGCTGCTGACACGTTCAAAGCATTGGCACTTGCTTAATGAAGGTTTATTCATATTATGAATATTTGTTACCTTCATTTCCACCTCATAAGGCTTTTGTGCAGTTCTCAACATTAAAGGGTGCTTATCATTAAGCTCAGTAGTGGCATTTCTTTACATTGATCTATATAGTGTAATTCATATAGTATTAATATTCATGTGGATTAGGTTGCATATTGTATGTTATATTTGCAACAAAGTGCCCTAGATAGCACCAGATGACGTGGCTTCCTTAACATACATTGCCATACTATGCCATGTTAGCCATCAGATAAAGATCACACACCATCTCCTAAATACTAGAGAAACAAACATATTTGGATGTATAGAGTGTACATGGACAACAGCTAAGCTGCGGGTCTTACAGAATGCCATCACTGATGGTATTACAGAGCTCAGAAAAGATTTGTGAACATTATACTTATTAATGTTAGTTAATGCAAAATCCTTGTGACCATATAGATGGGATTCCTCCAGAACATTCTGTCTTCTGTCTGTGTCTGCAGGCTTCCAAATGCCATGCACATTGTTGTGATGACTGAGTCCTCATTGTTTTTTCTCCTCTCCCTTTAGCAGATTTGAGGCATTGTGGTCTTCCTGAATACACAGGGCTTTCTCAAAATACTCCCAAAGATGCTCATTTCAGGTTCAAAGACAGCAACAGAAACCCTCACATTTTTAAACAACCATATCTAACCTTGTGCTACATAATACAAGCTCTAATAACCCAATAATGATAAAAAGCTGGCTCTTCATTACAGGAAACGGTTCCAGGATAAATAGAGTGATTTTATCCAGTACCCTTGGGAAGAGATGGGTTGTTGAACTGAAAATAAAACAAAGATATGTCTTCCTCTCTGACATAAGCAAGCAAGATATGAAACCCATGAGAACTGAAAGATTATTTCCAAACTCTGCCCCTAAACTTCCACACCTTCCTCGATGTACAGATAACATTTAAACCTCACATTCAGCCATCAGGTGTTCATTTGGGAAGAAGCAGCTCTATACACTACGTCATGAAAAATTAATTTAAAAAAGAAACAGAATACCTGTCCATTAAAGCCCATTCTTCATAATCCATGTAAGATTGTATCCTTACAACGTATACACTTTCAAGGTGCCTGTAGATAGATTTCTACTTAAGTCAAATGTAAATCTAGTTAAACTAATTATATACATGTATTTTCCTTTGTTTCCAGTGTTTCTTTTGTTTTAAAAGTTGCTTCCCAACAGCAAACTTAACCCCATAATATACTTGAAATATTCCAGCCTGGTTTCCATGTGAGCCAAAGCACATAGTAAACTGGACCTCTGCTTAAGACATTTTTCCTCTGTCTTTCCTCTCTTCCATTATCTTCTGGCTCTCTCCACATTAATTACGTACTGATGAACCCGACTTGTAGTCATGTTTTCTGTGAAGGACAGGAATAGCTATTTTACTGTTCATCTCAAAAGTCCAGGTGTAAAATTATATCTTACATTTATTTTTAGATCAAATTATGTTATAAAATTGTAATTTTTTTTTAGCTTTACTTACATATATATCTACCCTTAAGCAATAAAGACAAAGTTTGTTTTTAGGATGCACAAGGCCTGGGACCCCCCGAATGGGACACCACTTCTTTGGCTAGTGAAACATAACATCTAAATCTATGTGTTCCTTATTCATTTTATGTCTACAATAATGTTATATATGGCACAGAGTCAAAATTCCTAAACTGCCTCCATCTAATTTTCAAGAGAAAAAAGGGGCCACCCTCATAGTGAAGGACATGACATGAGGCAGATTATTAAAGATTGCAATCAGCCCGGCAGCCATGACGCCTTCTCCGATCGACATCAGTCAGCTTCAAGCACGCTCATCTTCTGTGAAAAGACCCCTGTCTTGTTGAATTTCAGTAGCCTATCCACAAACGTTTGAGAGTATTCTGTCTGACCGAAGGACTGAAACAAAGTTTGATTCCCACTACAATGTGATCAGGCTCTGCACTCAGGCCGTTTTCCAATGCTGACACGTTACAGCACTTAGTTCCCTACCAGTGTCTGGCACGTCGCAATGACTGACCACTAGCATTTCTTTAGTGGCTATAAAAACTAATTTTATGGTCAATGGCCCCTGAAAACTATATTAAAGGTATGATATATTTAGACAAGCCCAACAATTTTCAATGCATTGCTGACCAACAGTCCTCCAAAAATGTCTTCCAAAGATGAAGTCATGGCTGGGGGACGGGGTGCTAATTTGTGACCTTCAATCTTCATCTCCGTTAGTATGGTGTTGGTTTCAGACCCCATGAGACGAATCCCTTAAATTACGGCATAATATTAAACGATGCAAATAGGGAGGGTAGGGAGGCAGGAAAAAGGTGGAGCAAAAGATGGGGGGGGGAATAACTAAAAGGAATCGGTTTGTGAAGCTGATTTATTGTGTTGACATCTTTGCGCTGTGCTGTTCTGTAAAGTTGTAATTTCTATTCTTGTTTTTCATATATAGTACTCAGGGGAGAAGAGTTAGGATTATTCCAAAGGCCCCCAAGTCACAGGGACACCGAACACTACAAGCTTTCATGGGACTCGAAATCTCTGCCAGCACCCCTGATCGCACCATAAGGTGTTTCTCCTGTTTGTCTTGACAAATTGTCCTGCACTGAATCACAACCAATCCTGGGATGTTTGTACATTCTGGTAATAAAATGCTCCAAGTTATATGTTATAGACACAGATATACATTTTCTATAATTTGACTAAATGACAAATTTTTAAAAATGCGGAGTGGAGGAGGACGACATTCTTGTCAAAAATGGAGCGTGTGCAGAAGACGATACACTCAGTGTGAAGGAAGCTTGTGTACAGAAATGATGAACGTACAAGGAACAAAAGACCCACAAACAGTCCAAATGCTTCCTTTAAGATTCATTTTTAATAAAGTCATAAACAAAAGACAAATAAGTTATATTTTTTTTATTTGTTAGAATTCTATCAGTGTTTGAACATTAATATTTAGAGATCTAGTACGATTTCTACTTTCATGGCTAGCTTTTCACATACCCAAAACAGCTTTACCAATTTCACTCTCCTATAATACTGTAGGGGGCTTTTTCCATTAAAAAAATCTGAGAGCAACTTAGCAATGAAAGTACAATGTAACATCTCTCTTATGTTCCAACAAAACATGATCATTACATATAAACTCTTTAAAAATATACTTCTGTCAAATAACTTGACAACTACTATGTACACTACAAAAATAAATTTTCATATAAATAAATTATATGGCATACATTTATCTTTGTAACTGAAATGACAAACGTCCACTGATGCCAAGAAAATTGGCAGTCAGTGAGATCTGAATATTTTTTCCTTTTAAATCCTCACTAAGAGCTATGATGAGTCTGTAATGTAAATGTTATATACTCTTTTCCCTATTTAACATTAGTACGCACTTTATACAGATCAAAATCCATTAAGTAAATACATAACTGTAATAGTGTTTTTCAATAGAAGTAAAAATCCCTGCATTTGTTATAAACTGGCATTATGACCAATAATGTAAGAACAACCATCTTTTTATACAAAAATATAAATATCACAAAACAAAGTAAAAAAATAATAAAATATGACAAAAACAAAAAAAAAATAAAAAATAAAATAATAAAATAGTTGCCAGCCACATATTTCTCCTTTCTGCCAATGTGACATCAGGAGAAAAAGAAAAACTAAATAATATATATATATATATTTATATATATAATTTTTTTCCCACAGAAGCAGCAGACAGACACAGAAACAGAAACAACGGCTTGTAAAGAGAATACAAATGTGTTTGACAGGAAGTTCGTGAGGTGGAAACAGCCATTGACACAAACACACTGGCCTAGCGACTGCAAGGGGAACATGTGACCCCTGACCTCTAAAGTACTCGCGTTTGGCCCGATTTGGCGCCATTTGGCAGCTGAGGAGGAACTTGCAATTAGTGTTCCACCGTGGATTTTTACGAGGTGAGGTCAGAAGAGACCTGCGTCTATTAGTCAGCTAAAAAGAGCCGTCAAGCTGGCTGAGAGGAGGCTGATCCCACAAGGCCGTGCAGCGCTAACCCTTTAGTACGCTTGTCGTGGCAACTTCTTCAGAATGAGGGAAAATACAAAAGGGAATAAACGGCCAACGTCTCCTGCAGATGCAACAATGTAGTCAAGTGCCTTGGCTGGGACAGAGTGTAGCTTATAACCATTTAAATATGTAATATCTCAACAGTACTGACGTTATGGGTTTGAGGCACTCCATTGAAAGAGCTGGTTAGAGGCATAGGGCCCACGGAGCAGGAAATGCTAGAGAGTCAGTGTTCCACAACACCTTCATTCATTCAGTCAGTCAGTCAGAAACAAGAGAAAAAGCTCATCACCAAAAATCACCAAAAGTAAAGCACCCAAAAATGTCCCCCCGGGACCGAAGACGGCACACCGTCAGAGGGGGGGTCTGACCAAGCTTGTTATGCTGGTGGTGTCGTATCACCGATGCAGGCAAGATGTGGCGGCAGGGTTCAGCTGAGGGGATGCTGGGAAATGGGCAAAGGGGCGCTTACAGTAAACCAGCACAGGGGCCAAAAGAGCAGAGGGGAGAGCAGAGGGGAGAGCGGCGGCGAGAACAGAGAGGCCGTGCTTAGAGAGCGGCGGCCGCGGTGAGGAGCATGCTTTTCCGATTGTTTTTTTCCCCTTCTTCTTCATATCTGCTCAATTTAAATACCACGCATAGCGTGTCTCATAACTACCACAGGTTTGTGATATCCAAGCTAACGTTAAAAGATGCGTACCTTTATACACACACAGACATTCATACGTGCATGTAAGCCAGACATGCAGGCGAAGCGCTATTGCCCTCCATGAAACATTGTCAGACATCAATTTAGCCGCCATGAAGCGGACGGCATTTTCAAAGTATGGCGAAGACTAGCTAACGGCGCCAATGCGAGGAGGGGGTGTCAGCGACACAACTCAAGGCACCCCATTGCCTGAACGAGTAACAGAGACATTTTAATTTGATGCCTTTGAGCAACGTAAGAGAGTCACTGGCGGAATGTGGCACCAGAATGAGTCGTTAAGATGTGGTTTTGCTTGCTTCCCAAATGATAATTACTTAGCATAAATCAGCATTAGCTGCCCACTCAATGTTTGGGAATCAAGGACTAGAAAAAAAAAGTGATCCAAATGTTTGGTTCAAACTGTCTGCTCAACCTCTCGACCTTTCAGTTCCATGACAGGGCTTAAGACACGCTTCTCACACACTCCTGACACATAAAAGCAGTATTTGCATAGAATCACACAATTATACAATATTTAAGCAGCAAAACATATGCTGAAATATTCGCGTGGGTGAAGCTTTCTTGTGGCACAAATTAAGAACAAAAAAAACCAAAACAATGATATTACAGTAACCACGCAGAACATGTAGATGGCACAATCACGCATGCATCCACCCAACGATGGCGTCGCTTGTTAAACGCGAGTCGGACTGCTTCTAAATTATAGCTCCATTTTGTATTTACACGTGTGTACATCTTTTAAATATTTATAAAAATATCTAACAATATTACATCAGGTTACAGTAAAGGTCGCAGGTGCACCCATCCCGTCTGGTGCTGTCGGGGCAAGGAGGTCCGTAGTTTGGCCTTCAGGCTTTGCAGAGACTGTGGAGACAAAACAGGAAAAAACACATTAAAACACATTAAAAAGTACCTGCCTCAGAACAGGGAGTCTTTCCCTCCATTTCCATGAGTTACTGTGTTTTCACTTTCAGGAACTCGTTCATTGCATGACGACTGCCACAGCTAAAAGGCCACTTCACAGGCTTGATACCATCCACACTTCCGTCTTTTCACAACTAATTATATCCTGCTCTATTTTTATTTTGTATCTTTGTATTACGCATTTCCTTTCAAGCACAATCCCAAAAACAGAAATCAGAAGTTGAAACTTTCTGATTCTCTGTGTTCTGAATCACAGATGGAGGGAATCACTCCTGCCCTGTGGGCCTGTATGTTAGATACTCAGAGTAAGCCTGCTGTGTCTCGGCGGCCCGGGGGCCTGTACCTCAGCTGTCTGACCTCCTGCCATCGCACCGGGCTTCACATTCCACGTCCTGCAGCTCAATGGCCTCTGTCGCCTCCTTCTCCTCTGGCTGCCCTTCGAAGGGCACGTGGGGGTCAGGGAAGGGAGGGTCAGGGTCCATGTGGTCGGCCGGCTGGTACCCGTCTGACGAGGGATAGGCTGGGTATGCAGGGTTCTGCGGAGGCAGGCCAGAGTGGACCGCCACTGTCACTGAGGCGGAGGCAGTCACCGTGGTGATGGGCTGGCCGTAGATGGGGTCGGGAGCAGCGAAGGTGGTTTGAGCACGGGGTTTGCGGGGACAGGTCCGCGGCCCTGATCTGTCCCTGAGGCCTGGTCCGGGATGGCGGGGACCCTTGGCGGTCGCCTCGAAAGCATCCGTCCGCAGCCTGTGGGGCGGCGGCTGCTGGTGCTGCTGCCGGGGGCCTCTCGCCGACTCTCTCCTGGGATCCCGGCTGGTGTACTGGCGTGCCGGCTGGGCCGCCGCCGCCCCCTGGTGGTGAGCGGTGTGGGGCCGATGCTGTGGATGCGGAGGCTGTTGCCTGGAGTCCAACTGAATGGGCTGCAAGAACAGGGAACATTGTAATTATACCAATTACTAGGGATGCCCAATCCACTTTTTTTGGTAGCCTGATTCTATCTAATCCATTTAATAGTTATATCTGTGAATCAGAGACCTGATATGATCTTTAAATATTACACACACGCACATGCACATGCGCGCGCACACACACACACACACACACACACACACACACACACACACGCACACACACACACTGTCCTCGTCTAGGTAAGCCTCATGATTTCTCAGCATTCTTCCCTTCTGCAAGGGAAATTTGTTATATTAAACACTCTGTTACTACCTCCTTTTAAAAGAATGGCATCACAAACATCACAGACAATTGTTGGGCTACTTTGAGTTCACAATGTAAAGAAAATTTCCCACACATCTGGCTTCTCAATAGCTTACAGTCTCAAGCCATGCATAAACTGTAGCATGTCATGGAACCTTACGATATAAGGAATTAACGTCAATTAGGTGAAATTTAATAGATCAGGCTTTGGATCGAGCTGTGGTAGCTGATACCGATCAATTAAAAAAAGCCTGGACTGGCCCTGGTTCTGATCTTTGATACATCACTGCCAATTTGTGACGAAACACCACCCAACAACAAACAACACCCATTTTTCACTCCACCTTTTCCGTAGCCTTTTAAGGATTCTGACAACTATATTCTAACTATATTCTAACAGTGACACAATTTCAGTATACCCCCCCCCCCTCCGGGACATTGCGACACTCACAGCAGAGAAGGGGAAGAGCGGGGGGCCCGTATGCCGGGCTCTGCCGACAGGCTGCCCCCGTGTGCCGGAGCGCGTGCAGTTGGGTCGGGGGCCCTCCTGCCTCGCAGTGCCCCCCTCCGAGTGCCATGCCTCGTACTGCTGCAGCTCCTGGCTGATGCTCGACGCCATTGTGCTGGAGCTGTACTCCGAGTCCGAGGAATCTGAGCCGGTACCTCCGCCCCCGTGGCTGGGCCGCACCGCGAAATGGACCACTGGGGGGGCCGGCACTGGTGGCGGCGTGGGCAGCTGGTTTCGGCCATCAACTGGAGAAACCTTGGAGAAAAGAGTGGGGGGAATTAATATTTCAAATAAAGAACTGTCTATCTGATAACAGGTAATTCACGGAATATGGGGGTCAGCTTTGTGTAATTCCATAAGACCTCCCTGGAACTGGGTCTTTGTCACTTAAAGGCTCCACTGTTCCACTGCGTCTGTTCAGCATTAAGTGTTTAACTGGAATGAGCTCCCCCCCCCACCCCAAAAAAAAAAAAAAAAACAGCATAACACTGCAAGAACTCTCACCTCAGGATATGGGCCAAAGTAGGACAATAAAACAGGAAGGAGGACCAATCCATTGAGGACACCAAGTACAGTCAGAATGGCCAGGACTGCAAAGAAGTACCTGCAGAACATCACATTGCATTAAACAGGAAGGGCTTTCAGAAGGGAATAAAATAAACACTCCGCTTGACGGAGTGAAATGATTAAACACAAAACATGGCTCCGAATACCACACAGGGATTAGTGAAAGGACCGAAAAACAAAATTACCTTATGTGAGGCTAAGAGGCAAAGAGTGTTAGTTGGTCAAATGCAAAGGGGGGGGGGGGAGGAGAAATAATCAGCCCGTTAATTCAAAGGCACTGCAGATGGAAACAAAAACACAGCCCACAGCCCCCCCACACCGCTGCACCCCCAACGTCTGCAGCCTGCAAGCAAACGCAAGCGAGAGCGAAGGCAGCAGGAATGTAAAGAGCAGGGCTGGAGCACAAAGAGACAGGGGCCCGTCTACTGGAACACCAGCAGAAGCAAACAAACCAAGCGGAGGGTGCAGAATTTAAACAATTTAGTCTAGGAGGAAGGGAGGAAGAACACCAAGCCTCCTCTCACCCCCCACCCCCTCCAGCACCCCCCCTTCTGCTTTCTCTCCTGGCAGCTAAGCCTCTGTGAAATTCTCAAGCCTCCCTCAATCCCCCGACTAATTAAATCTCGAGTATCAGGTAAGACGGACCCCCAGCCTTTTCCTCCTGACACCAACCCCCCCGTCCCGCAGGACTGCAAGAAACATGTGTGATGCTCCAGCCACCCCAGCTCCAGAACACCGCAGGGTCCAGAGTTCTGCTCCGTCTAAGGTTAACTGCGCCTGAATGCGGTAAAGCCCGGAAAGCCTCCTCGCCGAGCCGCCGTCTGGTGGGTCCCACCCTCTGACATTTAAAAGGGCCCCTCTGGACAGCTTGGCTTTGCTGAAAAGCAGCTCTGCTGATCCTCTCCATGTTTCTACTGATGGCTTCAAACCCCCTCAATTCCACCATCCAGAAACACAGCTGGGTTGAGCAAAGGATGTGAACTTGGAAACTGAAAATGGACAAATGTGCATTGAATTTTGTTTTTTTTTATGTTAAATATGTATGCATGTGTCTCTGAGACACTGGATTCTGCCAGCTAGCGAATAAGAGGGGCTTCAGCTTAAATCTGTTCCCATAAATGTTGGCCCGAGTAGTCCATCAAGCCGTGGGATTTCACAACGGGAACTTGAGCTCGTTTGCCTGCCATGTCTGCCGGCACGGCCCAACCTACGCCTGCTAATCGTCGGCCCGCCCTTTCTCCCGTGCCGGCGGGCCCCCACACTGTCCGGCAGAGCAGCAGGCTTGAAGTTGCCATCTTGCCGGTCCCATCTGGATGGACTGGCTCTTAACTCCACAAGCAGGAGACCTTCCTGGCTTCAGCCTGCAAACAGTAAATCCACCCCCCTGGCTAATTCCTGCTCCCACGCCTCCTCCCAAAGCCCGTGGAGAAGGTGCCGGAAACTACCTGCCAGATATGGCCGTGTCAGTGCTGGCGTGTGACGCGCCCCGGGCAGACTGCTAGCCCGTGGCCTATGCGATTCAGGAGGAGCCCCCTACGTGGACTCTACTGGCCTCCCATCGCACCGTGTGTCACACACAACCTCAGCTCTCTCGCTCGGGAGCTCGTAAATGTCTGGAGATGGCAGTTAAACTAGCTGTGAGGGATTACACAAGCCAGGCCCAAAGCCTCCTGGCTCTCCGCTCCCCGCCGCTGCTCTCAGGCCGGCAGCATTTTCCCAGAACCCCTTTTCATCTCCACTTAGTCCGCTCAATATTTCACTGAGGCCCAAGGGCCCAAAAACAGGTTCCTCTCACGGACTGTAACCCTGAGTATAGGTTTCTGTTTACATGTTTGGTTCCATCACTGGCCAAATGGTTCTGGACTAAACTGTCATCTCCTAGTTCATTCCTGATCAGAGGAGCGACGTCTTAGAAGCAGAAGAGAAATCCTGAGCCTGCTGCCCTGCTCTTGCTGGTAAATTACCAGGTTGCAAGTCACTCTGGAGCTCAGTATTATCTAAACTGTCACAATATACATTTATATATAGCCAGTAGGTAAAACCACCAAGTACCCAGAAGGAATGGAGCCAAAGACTCAGAATACAAGCCACCGTCTTTCAAATAACTTCAGGCCAAATGGGTCTGCTTTCAAGCTGCTTCTCTTCTTGAGGAGAGTGGGCTGCTCCCACAAAAATCATGGCAGAGATGGAATATATAGACAGGCTGTACTGGTAGGTCGTATATTCAGCTGGCAGTGAGTACTGAACTCAGCGGAGGAAGTCCTGTGGGATTGCCCATTTTTAGAGCTCGAGTAAATGTTGGAAAAAATGGCGCGAAGAAAACAGTCAGCATATATTAAAAATTAGGAGGTTATCCAATGCGATCTAGCTTTTTCTTTCCATGCAAAAATTTAGCAAATAAGTATGAGAAACACAGACATCACAAGTTCAGGCACAGATTATGGAAGATGACTAGCTATACTTGGAAGGAGATGATAGTCGGGTAGTTTGAAAGACTAGTAATTAATAGTGAGTTGAGTAATTGTGGATAGGGTTAGGAGTTAAATAGGGTGGTGAGGTGGGGGGGGGGTGCGGCACATAAGTACACATTAGGTGGCATAGTCACCTGACGATGAAGTCAAACTCAGACCCAGCCAGCATAAGGACCCCCAAGAGGGTGGAGAATGCCCCATCCAGGACCGGGGCAAACATGTGCTCCAGGGCCAGAACCGCTCGCCGGTGCCGGTCACCGATGGCGGTGAGGAAGGCCTGCAGAGGGCCGGCAAACCGCATAGGTTAGCGATCAGAACCAAAGGCCTGCGCGCTTAGGGGCTGAAGGTTCCGGAAGCCGCCTGCACTCACCAAGGCCACGTGAACGGTGAACTCCACCCCGATGCCCACGGAGGCGATGAGGATGACCACGGGCACGGCGCTCAGCTTGATGCCGATCAGGCCCATCATCCCGAAAAGCTCCACGGTCATCAAGGACAGGACCAGCACCTGAGGGGGATTGAGGACGCCAAGTGTTAGTGGCAGCGGCAGGGGGGCGGGGCTCGCCCAAGCTCCCTGGCCTTCGTCAGTGCAATTAACACGACTCTGGTAGCAGGACTTTTGACTCCTGTGTAGTAATGCAGCCCCCTTTGGCCCTGGCTTCCCAGAAGGCCACAGTGCTGAACCTTAAAAACGTCAGTCTGAGAGAGAGAACGAGCTACACAAAGCTACCGCAAAGTCCCCATGGGTACTGACCTGTCATTTCCACTCCACGTGAAGCCAATGCTAAGGGGGGGGCTGACAGCGTTAAAAGGGTAAGGGGGGGGGGGGGTCCAGTGAATAGAAATAAATACTGAAGTGGCCGTATAGTGGCTAGTGAATGCCTTAAATAGCAGTCCAGCACTTAAAAAAGCCAAGAGATGGCTGCTTTGCGAGGCCCGTGCATTAAAGCAGACGTCCTGACTGCTACTTAGTACATCATTCTGAGCCGAGCTGAAGGTGGGCCGGCCCCACAGACCCCCGCACGGCAAATGCTATTATCAGCTGATGCGTCTCAGGTTACTGGGGGCCCCCGGAGCCTTTGAACAGGGCTGGAAGTGGGGATAGGTGGGGGTGGGGGGGTTGAAGATCAGAGAGCATGAAGGAGGGGATTGTAGGGCAGCTGGTGGGGGCTGGGCGAGGGGAGAGAGGCCCCTGCACGAAGCCAGCGGTTCAACCTGAAGCACAGCCATAACTTCTTCCCCCCCCCCTCCCCCACCCTTTCATTCAGCTTGTAAAACATGCGGATGAACAAGAAATCCGCCGTCCAGCTTTGGGGACTCGGACGTCTGAAGCGCGGCGTGCAGGAGAGCACAAATCACATGTGAGATCGGGATGGGTGGGGGCGGGGGGGAGGGGGAGACGGAGACGTAGATGTGCAGTAAGAATGTGCAGAAAAGCAAAGGTCATCTAGCAAGTTTAGCGTAGCCGTCGCCCAGGCAACCGCTCTCGTATCCTCGTCCATTTTAAACAAGACCCTTTTAAAACAAGAATCCCACGTAGACTAAACACAGCAGAAGATAAACACTGTGACCCGCACGGGCGATACGAGAACGGGTCTTCTGTACGTTTCCACAAAGCTCATGCAGAAAGGTGGCATGGGGCTCAATCCACACTAAATAAATAAGTAAAGAAGATAATGCTCCCTTACAGCGACCCCCCCCCCAGCCCCAGAGTCCTGATTCGGGGAGGGGGGGGAGTATGAGAGAGAAGTTTCAGGATTAAGAGTGAACCTGCATGTGTATGTTTGTGCCCGTGTTCACTTTGGTGTGAAGGGGCCACAGTGAAGGGGGCTGGGGGGACAGAGTCTGTAAGAGCACCGCTGTGTGTGGCTTCAATGCCAGTGAGTCTACAGGCAGCGGGGCGACGGGGCGACTCACGATGATGCCGGCGGTCCAGGGGTTGAGCAGGAAGAGGGCGCACACCAGGAAGGTGCAGGCCAGCACCACGCTGATGGAGAGCAGCAGCCAGTGACGCAGGCTGACGTACTGCTCCCAGAACAGGAAGGGGTATCCGTTGGGGTAGCTGGGCAGGCCCTGCCGGCTGTAGTTGCTGCAGACGGCCCGCACGCTCTCGATGGCCTCCACGAACTGCGGCGTCTCCCGGAGGCCGTTGAGGTAGAAAGGGAACTGTGCATATTCGATCGGCTCGGCAGTAGGAACTGTGGAGGGGGTGGGGGGGCATCTGTGAGAATGGGCTCACCTCAATCAGACACACAGTCAATATCACATATCCATGGAACACATCATCCTTCAGCACCAAACTCACACACACACACACACACACACACACACACACACACACACACACACAGAATCTCGGCTGCTATGGCTGCATACCAACCCCGCACAGCCGGACCGGCAAGCAGAGTTACAGTATTCCATTCCTGTGGTTTTTCTCCCAATTCCCCAGCCACCCCGAGGCCAGACAGGCAGGTGTCCGCCGGGGACATGCACCTGGGTGTTCTTCCTGACACTGATCCCCTGTAATTACAGTGTTGGGAGCAGAGGCTCCTCCTCCCCCTCTGCTCAGTATTAGTCCTTCGCGGAAATTTGTATGAGCACGGCAGGGAGGGGGTACGCACGCCGTCCGGTCCAATTGTATGAGAGTACAGGAGCCGCTTGCCAGAATGCCCCCCTCCTGCCGACCCCCCGCTCCGTGGGTGTATGCCACTGTGTGTTCCGCTGCCTGCGGCGCCATACAGCACCACTTGCTAAACATGATTTGCCCCATTATAACCTCTGCTATAAATTTCCATTAAGACGAGACTTGGCCGGTCGCCAGCACTGCTCCAGGGGTCCGAGCGGAGGGAAGTACTTTCAGCTTGTTATCCAATCACGTCTCCCCGAGCCCCCCTGTAAGGCTCAATAACCTGACCAGCCACTTAAGTCAGATAACTCCTGACTTTGACGCAAATTAAATCAATCCGGGTCGCTCCCTCCCTCTCACAGAAGGGTTGAGTCTCTCTCTCCACTCCAAAATAAAAATCCAGCCTGTGATTTATACAGCGCATAAAGATGCGCGCTTACTGACTCACATCATGCTCAGAACCGGTGTGACGTCCTGGTAAACAGCGCTGATACTTTTACAAGGAGCATTAACACAGCAGGGAGGGAAAAAAGTCACATGTCAAGCAGTTCACCCGAGAGCCCAAGGCACTGATCCAGAACCAGGGGCCTCAGGCTGCATTATAAACCCAAACATATGGTGCAAGATCAGAATCTGATCAGAGGTCAGTGCTTCCTCTGCTCGCTCATCACTCATTCCAGTGCAGGGGCCACCCCACCGAGCTTAATGCGACAATGCAGTCGCTTTTATATAAAGTGACTTGTGCGACACACTCGCAGGACCCCCCCCCCCCCAAAGAGGCATTTAAATAGAGGACTCACTGCTGAGTCGAGTCTCGGGCATGGAGTCCGTGCGGTCGTGCACCCACTCCGGCGGGTGGGGGCGGATGTTGGCCTGGGAGGCGGCATAGGCAACGGGGTCGTTACTGACCCAGGCGGTCAAGTAGATGTAGAAGGCGGCGGGGTTGATGATGCCGTCCGCGTCCACCAGGCGCTGCCTTGTCAGCTGGGGGGGGCACAACAAAACTGAGGTGTAAATACGACTGCCAGGGGTGCGGGATATGCCAGTCTATCACAGGGCATTTATATATTATATATAAGCGCTACCCACTGAGCTGCTGTGCTGCCCAATGATAATAAAATCCATGCCATAAATTGTAAGAATACATATTATTAATAAGAAACCCATTCCAGAGGAGCAGTGTGGGAAATATCACCACAAACCCCCCCCCCACCCACACACACACAGCTGGAGTCCG